GGCTGATGCTTGAAAGTGCATCTGTTGAAGCCTTGATGAGAATCCTTTTTGATGTATCACAGCTCCCTTAGCCTGTATCAAATACAGCATTGAAAATGTCCAAGAGCAGAGAATATGAAGCAGTAAACTTGTTCCAAAGGGCTTTATGATCCACCTAGGTCAGCAGTATATAACTATTTCAATGTTACAAAGACACAAACATTTGCCCACTTTCTCTTCTCATGCCACATAACGAGGTATATGGGACCCACAACTTTAAAAAAATAAAAAGGAATTTCTGACAAGGAAAGCATTTAGGTATAACACTGAAGTGAGCATAGGGATTTGTTTCCTGGATTTTCCTAAACAACTTCAAATCTCCAGAGTAATCACTCTCTGTCTCTCAGCCTAATTTCCTGAGACTCTGTGGATATGTGGCCAAGTCAGTGTTGACTCTTGGCGACTGCCTGGAAAAGTCCCTGCAGTTTTCTTGGAAAAGTTTTTCAGAAGTAGTTTGACATTGCCTCCTTCCTAAGGCTGAGAGAGAGTGACTGGCCCAAGGTCACCCAGCTGGCTTTGTGCCTTAACCAGGACTAGAGATCATGGTCTCATGGTTTCTAGCCTGATGCCATAACCACTACTGTACACCAAACTGGCTCTCAATCTCCTGAGACTACTGGAAGGATAAAATGAGTTTATCCTATATGTATCTTCAGCGACTTGAAAGAAAAATGGGCTATAGTATATTCAACTGTTTTAATTTTTGGAAAACTCCAGTTGAAAGAGAACTCTCGTTTCTTTCTTTTTTTCAAAAGGCCAGTAAGTTCTTTTTAAGTAGAGAAAGTGTAGTGGGAAGAAGGAATGACCTTGAAGGACAGGAGGAAGAGCCACTACTAAAACAGTGGTCAGAGAAAAGAAACCTGACCCCAGGGCAGAACTGTAACCTGAGAAAATGTCTCAGACAAGGCCCTCCCCAATTCTCACAAAGATAAAGGGGGGGGGGAATTCTGTTACTATAGCTTTACAATAAAAGTAGTATTGGCCTCCATGACTTTGGTTTCCCAGTCTGGTCTACCTTGAAGGGCTGACAGAAACAGGATAGAAATATGTTAATTAACTATTTTTAAAAAGCAAGCAAAAACAGTATCAGTTAAAGATACTACCTCAGGAGGTACCTTAGCAGAACACTTTCTTCTAGAAATGGATAAAATCTTTTTATAACCTGTGAAAGCAGTTTCATGGATAAATACAACTCTAAGATCCATGGTAAGACCATCTTTACTACAGTTCAATGAACATTAGCCTTACAGAAAAGTAGGACCTCATCACAGTTTCCTAAGTTTTTAACATCTTACCCGTTCATAGGCCCAGAACTTGATAGCTGTTTCAGGTGCAATTTTAACAACATTTACACCATTTCCCCTCCAAAGGGAACGGACTCCTCCTTCTTTCACCATTTGTTGCAAGCCACCAACTATGTTCATTTTCCCCTTCGAGCCATGAACCTACAGCAAGAGGAAACATAATTACCTGACATATATGGAAAACATAATGAACCATAACTCTCTTTTGTGTTTCAAAAAAGGCTTAAAGTATGCAAATCTTTCAAGAAAAGAATTGGAACCATTCCAGATTATGCCCTAGATAGTGCCTGTTTTCATGACATCACATAAACACACCTGAAGATTCAGGTACACAAAACCTGTTTGTCAAGGCTCCCACCTAGCCATTAAAATGCAGAAGTCTGGTGTGATTTTCCTCCCTTCCTTAGACAAAATGAGGAAAAGCAATATCTGACCTGACTTCTAACCCTCTTACTTTTCTTCAACTCTCTCTTCAGATACAGATTTCCTTGCTGGGCCAAACTGTACATAAACATGACAGCTCCAAGTGTTTAAGCATGGAACTTCCCTATCACATTTCCACAGAAATGGAAAAGGGAGAGTGGAGGCATGCAGGAGAAAATTACAGACACCTTCTCCACCCCCTCCCACAAACTCAATGGTTTAATTCTCCACAGCTTCTCTTCCAAGCAACTATTCTGGCAGCCAAAATTCAATACCAAAAGTAAGCTTGATTATTGGAGAGAAGTTGAGTACCACTTCAATTTTTCTAAATAGTTCAAACTGCACTGCTCTGTCTTATTTGGCTATGAACTTTTTCATCTACCACTCATTCTGCCACATGGCAATTGGCTGTTGAAATTAAAGGTGGTCAGAAAGTAGATCTTGATCTATTACAAGAAGTCTAGGTGAATTGTAGTATATTAGCAAGGATTTCTGACTAACAATAGCAGCAACAAAATAATTTTCCTCCAACACCACCACCAGTCTTAAATTTTATTGTTGAAATTAAGAAAGCTTGAGCAAATGGAATGGATTTTGAATGAACAACAATGAACATGTCTTTATTTGGTCAATGACCAACAAATGGAATGGATTTTTGTGTAATAGTTCTAGGAGCTACATTCAGTGCTGACACTAGAAACAGTGCTGTAGGTTCTGAGTCTCTAATTCTGAGTATGTCAGACAAATCTTGGAGTTTTGATAAAACACAAAGTAGATCCATCCACCTGTACACCAAACTATTTCTGATAAAATATGGCAACCCACTCTTCTAAACCAAGCCTTTTGACATGTCTGAAGAAGCTTGTTGGATCTTGGATGCTATGCTTTAAAAGGCCCACCTGCATCATAACTTTGAGACGATCAAGGGGTGCTGTGCCTGTTCGAGACACAGCACCAGCAACTCCACCTGACAAAAGCTGCTTCCACCACTGGCCAGTCTTCTTCTCTTCTTCAGTGAATTCATCAGGAATAGTTAAACTATCTCCAATGTCTAATACCTGTTAAAATGCAAAAGAGAGAAAGAGAAAGAACAAGCAAGAGAATGACTTAAATTCAACTTCCTTTTATTTCAGCAAAGAGATTGATTGCTGCAAAACACAATTCTATTCAACTAAAAATCAAAAAGAACCATACATGATACATTCTAAAACCCATCATTGCAAAAACTCTACCATCGTAACTACAAATAATTTAATTTTTTTTACTCGAATATGGCTGTAATAAAAACATCTTCTAGAAAGCATTTTACATCCCTAGGCAAGGCTGAACACCATACTGTATGATTACAAAGAATGTCTTTGCAGAGATATTTTAAGAATTACTAAGATTAACCTTTTAAAAGTGTTATTAATCCAATGATCTATTACTTCATCCTAGCTTTTTTTTTTTAATTTCCAGTCAATATTATGTATTTGTTTTCTTTTAGCACTAAGATAAATTGTATATGCTATAGTACATATATTTTGTTTCACAGTAAAATCAATCCAAGAGTTTTCTTAACGACCAGTTACTGAATGCCAAAGTTCAAGTTCCCAAAGCAAGAAGTACCATAAGGGATATTCAGCTGATTCTTTAACATACCTTCAGACAAGAAACCTTCAGGGTTGGAGGGTATTTTCTACCCAAACTCAAAACTGGCAAATGTATATGTTAAGACATGGATCTACAATCTCTTATTATTTATTTATTTAGACATATATAGCTGCCTATCTTATATACAATGACCCTGGGCAGCTCACAAGGACATAATAAAACAAAATAACCAAAAAACAAGCATCAAAGCAACTTCCAGCATCTCAGAACAAAATTCCCCCACACCTGAACATGCGCATTTACTGGGTTCCAACTTCACCTTAGCCCAACGCTTGAGGGAACAGCCAAGTCTCTAGCCTTCTAGAAGACTAAAAAGATAGGGACATGGTGGATCTTAGGGGTAAGGTATTCTACAGGGCAAGGGGAGTTACAGAGAAGGCTCACCTCCTAGGTCCCCCAGATTGCAACATTTGAGCGAAGGGACCTGGAACATGCCCACCTTATTCAACCTAGTGGAATGGGCAATGAAGCCAATGAAGACATTTCATTGATTTTGAGAGTATGTTATGGGCACATTCATTCATTCATTCATTCATCAATCATATTTATATGGCTGCCCATCTCACAAGAGGGTGACTCTGGGCAGTGTACAAATCAATTAACAGTCAATTAAAACAGTTGTCATGGGAAAGGGCTTCCCTCTTCACAAAAGAGGAGTGCCCATGGTAGGAGCAGTGGCTGGTGAGGCACAAGCGCAGAGGGGCTCTGGGGGAGACTTATCCCAGCAACTTGCAACCTTCCCTGAAAGCTTCCCCACTGACTTTCTGGGGAAGCCAGCAGGGAAGATTGCAAATGGCGATCACATGATTGCAGAGTGCTGCTACTGGTCATAAGTGCAAACTGGTTGCCAAGTGCGCAGATCACGATCATGTGACTGCAGAGGTGCTGGTACGGCTGGAACTCCGAGGACCAGCCATAATCACCATTTGTTCAGCGCCGTCGTAACTCTAAATGATCTAAATGAATGGTGGTAGGTCGAGGACTACCTGTATTTAAGTCTAGCAATTTTAGCTGTCAACCCTCTCCTTGCTTCAGATTTCATCAACGTTTTAGATGTCTTTCTAATTCGAGGTGCAACTGCATGTCAAAGCAATAATTCTAACTCTAGAAAGAAAGAAAAATCAAATGCACTCTGTCCCAAATGAAATGAAGCTGAATAGACTATTTTTTTAACTTGTGGATTTTACTTTGGAAATCAAGAAATCACCAACACTTAGAAAAGTACATTAAGAATGGAGAGGTATATTTACTTTTCAGGAATCTCTTACAAGTATTTATCATTCCTGCAGGGTGCAGACCAGAAACAGGTTTAGGTCATCATCTCTACTGAAAAATCTGCTGCTTTTGACCATCCCTGGACACTTATACGACCATCAGCTATTCAACAGAGTGCACAGCTAAACAACAGTCAAGAAGCAGAATGACTCTACTGTCTATCTGTTTTGTCTATCCCCAATCATTCCATTAGGCTGTCTGAACTGTTTATATTCAGTTAATAATTACAGTAACAATTAACTTTTAAGCAGCATTTCCAATTTATCAAGACGTCTAGAACTGTAGTATGAAGGCTGCTAAAAGAACAATGAAAGAGATCTACACCTGATCTGCAGGAATAGATTACTGATACCTGTTGTTTGTCATCATTTTTTTAATGGGGGCCGGGCTTCAAGTCATTATTGACTCCTGGTGACTGCCTGGACAAGTCCATGAAATTTTCTTGGCAACATTTTTGGAAATTGTTTGCCCTTCTTTCTTCCTATGGCTGAGAGAGAGTGACTGGCCCAAAGTTATCCAGCTGGCTTTGTGCCTAAGGCAGACCTAGAACTCATGGTCTCCCAGTTTCTAGCCTTGTGTCTTAAACCACTACCCCAAACTGGCTCTCCACTTAAATCAACATTTCTTTTGGGGGTACTTTATTTAAAAAAGAGGCAAAGAGCAAGATTTTCAAGCAATTTTGGAGCAACAGTTTGCTTAGCTAGCTAAAGATTGTCAAGAATTTCTGCTTTAACTAAAAAAAACAGCTGCCAGGGATAATCACTGAATAAGCTAATGCACAAGTTATTTAAATAAATATAATCCAGATCAGGACTGCAATAAAAATGCAAACCATACTCACTGTGGAATGTTTCCAGTAACG